GACAGTGCAATGAGCTGATCGGTCACTCCAGAGAGCAAGGCTATCGCTCACGGGCCTCGGTGCGCGCGAGGCCACGCCGGGCCCTGCCCCAGCTGCCCATGGCCTGTGCAGGGCTGTGGGCCACAGCATGGCCAGGGACCTGCCCACACAGTGCCGGGGACACCGGGGCTCTGGGCTCCAGGGCCCCAGCACACAGACCCACAGCAGCTCTGCTTCCCACACCTTGCGGCCCCACGGACTCCTCCTCACGCAGCTGTGGCGCCTCACCCCATGATGGAGCCCGAGCGAGCCGGCATTCCCTGCCATGGGCAATGCTCACACACACAGGCACGAGGACGTACAGTCTCCTCATTACGCCAAATAAGGATTTTTAAAATGTTAACTTATCAAAAATACACTAGAGAAAAAAGAAACAGCGTGGATGTTACCCCCTACTAATGAGGTACTAATGCATAATTATTATAATACACATGCTTCTCTCCACAGAGGAATATTTATAAACACTGAAACAGTTGAGTTTGCACTGCAGTCATATGTAAAAATTGCTCTTGCTCCTGCAATTTGTGGGTTGGGTTTGGGTTTTTTTCTTCCACCATTGACATTTAATGCCTTTTGTAAGACTATATGAAATCATTTAAAATACTAGCGAAACCTGGGCCTTTAGTGCTTGCTGCCCTGAATGGGAATGTAAAAATGTTACAACTAAAGGCACAATTATTATTAAAGTATTCCATTACACCAGGTTTAGTTCTCAAGAGCATGAGTTTTAGGAGGGAACAGTGGTGGAGCTACCAGAGGAAAACCTGACATTAGCTGTGACTAAAAGGAGTAGAATAAAAAAGCTACAGCAATGCTTTCCACTCGCTATTCTCTGTCTGCCATGCTCAGAAGTTGCTCATGGCAGACACAAGCAAACCCCACAGATGCTGAACCCACCAGAGGTAGCTCCCAGCAGCTGAAGCCCACTCACCAAGAGGAGGGTGGGGGCAGGCGGTGCTCACTCTCCTCCTCAGGGCAAAGGAATCTGTGGCTGCCTGCCAGGGTATCCAAATGCCTGCTCTTGCAGCGTGGCCTTGCTGCCCTGCTCTCTCCTGTTAGGTCAGCAGGACTGAAAGCCCTGCAAGGTGGGTAAGGATGTCCATTGCAGGTGGAGAAGCCACCTCTGAAGGCCAGGTGGTGCAGGACCAACGTGGGTGTGGCTCCACAGCACACCAGAATCACCAGCAAGCCTACCTGCATCTGGGTGGAGTTTGGGCTCAACTGCATGGCTAAATAAAAATACATTTCCACAAATATTTAAATAAATCCAGCAACATTTAAATATTGCTGAATAATCCCAATAATGCACCCAAGTCAGAGCCAGGAGAGTAGACCTAGCTAAGCAGAGAAGGCTTAGCTAGGGTTGCATGTCAATTAAAGCTGAGTATCAATAAATTGCGGTATATTAAAGAGGAAGACAGACATCCATCCCACATGCCAGTGCAGCCATCCTCTCTACCTTAAATTTATAATGAAGTTCTCCATAATAAAAGCCAAACTCATTTAACTGGGTTTAGCTTATGTACCATACTAAATAATATTAACTAGGAAAACATATCAAGGGGAGTGAAACCAGGGATACAAAAAGCTCTTGTGGAAATGTAAAATAATAAACCACTATATATTTTTCTGCAGCCTAGATGTGCTGTTCTTGAGGAAACATTCTCCATCACATTGACAGCATGCTTCCTTCCTGTATACTGAAGTTTATTTACCTGAATTATTAATGCTGCTTTTGTTTGTAGCTATATCTTAATTTTCTTCTTTTCATTCACCTGTCATGATTGTTTTGATTCACATCCCAGAATGATGCACAAAATATTTCCTTTGGAAACACTGTAGTGTCACCAATATTTTTGCTCTGTTAACAGATTATTCTGTCTTCACAGTAAAACCAGATCATATCTCTTTTTTCATGAAAACTGTCAATCACTGAGATTACGCTTTAAATGTATTGAGCGGATAAAAGATAGAATTTAAACTACATATCATATGTCAGCAGAGAACACCGAGTGCCCTGCAAATAGGGAAAGCACACAATTCTCTCCTTCTAAATGAAAAATACGCCCACAGCGGCAAACAAGATATCCTCAAACAATTAGTAATGATCATGACAAAATTCTTTTGCATATGATGTGGAGTAATGCAGCTGCAGTACTGTATTTATTATTTGTAGAAAGAAGCAGAACTAAACCCTGTGGATTTTATTATACATTCAGTCTTATTTGTTGTTTCTTCTGCCTAGGCTAAGATTCTGGAGAGCAGAAAGATGCATTTATGTTTAAATTGTATTGTTTAATCTATTAAGAGCTGATAAAAATGGAGGTGAAGGACTGCAGTAATTAAAGAAACATCAAATGAATGTCCACAAATTTTATAATGCAGGAAAAAAGGAAAAAAAGAAGAACAATGCTATAGTGAAAGAATAGAAAGTTTTAGTGATATTTCTTTTAAAATATGTTCTAAAATTTTTCTTTGGGGTGCAGAATAGAAAGAGAATTTTACTCATCCAGGAGTTACCTGAAATTTCTTTTTCCACACCTTTTTTTCAAGTATAATGTCTAACCAACTTGTATACAAAATTCAAAAATATTCTCCTGAACACACAATATGGAGACACCATATGTACAAACAGCACACAATTTCAAACAGACTAGGCTCATTGGAAAAAAACTTTTTTTTTTATTTTCCTTTGATTTCTTTCAGAAGGATAAAATGAAAGGGACAGTGATACATATTTTAAGCCCTGTGAATTCACAATGGGGCTTTAGAATAAAGAGGTAAAAACCTTTGAACTAAACAAAGGTCCATCACAGTGCACTTCTTTTTCACAAGCACCTTATAAAGAAAATTATGCCAGAGAGAGGGCCCAGCTGGCTTTTGCCACTACACCTCTCGTCCATAACACCCCAGCATCCTTCCCAGCCCCTATCAATCTCCTGTATGCCATGTCATTGACTCCTCTTGGACCTGATCTCTTATCTCATAGAGCTGTTTTTTTAGTGGAATGCCCTGTGAAAGTATCCACTCATGAGCTTACATCTGAGTGTCTCTTTGTACTAAGCAAAGCCTGTAGTCTAGCAGGCTGCATTAACTTGATTAAAGTAGGACCATAGACAGTTACTTAGGCTCTTACTTTGCTCTTAGATTAAAGACAAGGAGGCCTCCTTTGCTCAAGGTTTTTTGTAAAACTGCAACTTTCAAAAGGGTCAGCAAAAGACAAATGCTCTTATAGCATAAGGAAAGAAGCTTTTATAACAAATGATTTCTAATTGCTCCTTTGTTCCAAAAAAGACAGCATTTATACCAGCTGAAACATAACAATCCATCAGCATTTCTTGATGGAAAGCTTGTACATAGGGCTGCAAAGAAAGACCTAAGTTACAGTAATTTCAAAAACATTTTTCCTTGTAAATAACACCTTATTTAATCCACTTAAACCCAGAACATAAGCACATATGACTGGCTATGCATAATAGTTTATTTTCACTAGCAGACCATAAAGCTGCTTGTGCATTTCCTCCATTTCAGCACTAAGGAACAGAATAGGGAAAGTGCTCTGCCATGGGTCTTGCCCCATGTATAACATTTTATATTCCATAACAAATAAATTTCAGTAATGAATCAGTGGGCTGGATTCTGATCTAATGCCACAGACTGGATTATTTCAATGTTACATATGCACAAGGAACGTGAACAAAAGAAAAAAAAGCTCACATTTGCAGCAGATAACTGCTAAAAACATCCCTGGCTTTGAGGGGAAAAAAACACTTTTCATGCTTTAACTGCTAAATTGGACAACAATTCTGCAGAATGGATTTATATACTTTTCAGACACATTCTACTAATTAGCAGAGTAGCAATTTTAGATTTTTTGTGAACAGTGTGCCAGTGTGCACCTGTTACCTGGATTCATGCATGTGTCTAAATGAAGCTTCTTATTTCTAGGTGAGGCTCAAAGTTCATTCAGCCACCACCTCAGCAGTGTTCCTGCTCAGGCCACGCTCAGCGCTCTTTGCAGCATTCCAATTACAAGCTGGGCTTTGAGGGTGCTTTGCTCTTACTATGGATGCCAAAAACAGTCATGAGCCTGAGACTACTGCTACAAAGCTGGGAAACTGTTTTAAGTCCCAGTTTAGTGTATTAAAGATGTATGTGGACAATTTGGACAGGAGAGAAAGAAGGGGGTTTGGGTGGTGCACAGCCTGGGATCTGCAGAGGGGGAAAGCGTACTACAGTGCCATGCTCTGCAGGAAGGGGCTGTATCTCACTGGTCTTTTGCTGAGGGTCCCAGGAGATGCGGGTTCAATTCTCACATGGTTTTTGTTACAACACCAATAGGGAGATTTCAAAAGATGTGTGGATGGATAAGGACACAAAAATCCTGATGTGCTTTGAAGAGCCCAAGTACCTGACACATCTGACACCTGACACTGCTTAAAAGATGCAGATGTGTTTCAAAATGATGATGGAGGCAGAGGCAGCAGAGGGAATGCTGGATAAGATCCCTTCTTACCTCCGTGGTATGAAGTCATCCTCACTCTCACAAGCTCAGTTGGCTCTCGGCTTGCCAGACCACCTCTGCCAGCACCCAAAGGTGCTACCATAATTCCAGAGTCCTCCTCCACCAAGAGGACAGAATAAGCCTCTTTACAGTCACGTCCCCTGCCCTGCCCCACCTGCAAAGTCCCTCGGCACCCCTGCTCTCTGCTTAGCTGGCACAGCAGCCTCACTCCCTTCCCTCTGGAAACAGGGAAGGTGACTTTCTGGGACAGGAGCTATGTACCTCCTCTGTAAAGTGCTGCAAACATTTGCTAAAATAGGAATAATTATTACTGTTAGAATATAATGTTATAAATAAAGCAATGAGATGGCTAATGGCACTTCTTTGAAAAAGAAAAAAAAAAGAAAAAGGCAAAGAGAAAACTATTTTCCCCTTGGGGAACAAAAACCCCAGAACATTGATTACTCTTAAAGGGACCCTCTCAACTTACCTTTGAGGATTCCCATTGATCTCAAATCTGTTTTCCCTCGCAGGCAAAAAATATAGGATTCTCTTGACATTCTCCTTTCTTCACGAGACTGAGCTAAGAGGGATACATTTATTTTAAATATGCACATAGCTATGGTGTACTATGGACTCAGTTTATGCCCCTCTGCATGCGTACAATGGCACTTTGAGAAATAGCCTTTCTTTCTATCAAGGTGAGGAAAGAGAATGATGACAACAATGTTCCCTCTGCTACTCACAGGACTTCTGCATGTGACTGAGATCCCACATATGCTCAGAGAGAAAAAAAATGGAATTGATACCAGGAAAGCAGTTCAAGTGACATCAACTCTTCTGGGATCTCTAAGGCTGAGGGTAGCGAGGTTGCCAGCTAAGGCCCAAATTAGCAATGAAACACACAGATCACAATATTGATAAATAGAGAGCCTTACTTGACAAAAGAAAACCAACAACATCAAAACAAAAAATCCACACACCATAATAAAGCAACTAAAAGGAAAACCACAGCAGGAACAAGAATGTATGAACTTATATATTTAGTTATAAGATTCTTTAAAAACCATTGCTAGCAAAACAAAATTTCTGTCACAACCAAAAGTCCCATCTTTGATTAGTCTCTTGGCAATTCAATTGCTCCCAAATTCATCAAATAGGGGACTATATACACAGGAGTTCTGACAAAGGGGCCCCACGATGTTGGGATGATTATCCACTTACCACTTGAAGAAACAACACTGGTGACAGGCTAAAGACAGGCATCTCTAAGAGTATGCAGAAAAGAGAAAGCAAGTGTAAGAAGGTGAATGAGAGAAAAAGAGTATGAGTATTTACTCATATGGGTAAAGAGAAGAAAATTATACCTGGCATTATTGTGGAAAGTGGAATTGAGGTTCCTGGTGTCGGGACTGAACCTCCTTGCTTTCCCTCCTTTCCTTGTACTTCTCTCTTAGGATATCAATAGAGCCCATAGCTATACAGGAGACCTATCCTGATTCTCATGGAATCTTCTTAGATGTGCATGTACTAAAAAAAGGGGGCTGTAAACTAAAAACATTGTTTGGGGCAATACCATCAGAAATTAAAAGATTAATGCCGGGCTGAGCCAGTGGAGCAATAGAGGCCTTCTCCCACAAACACAAGAGATCCGTTACCTCAGAAATCCCATCTAGAGAAGGATCATCCATAGTTTCCAGCTCTTTGCAGCTTTCTGGGCTTGTCCATAAAGAGCTACTGAGCATCTTCAGAAAGCAAAATGCCCAATGGTGCATTCCTATCCCATACCTATTACAGGATAGCAACCCCTGAAGTGAGGAAGGACAGGAGCAGACTTATTCAGGAGCATTTAAAGTGACTGCTGATCAAACTCCTTTATCTTCTTGAATAACTGCTAACAGCTCCCACCTGATTCACCCAAGGCACCCTGGGACAACCTTGCTCTTTAACTCCTGCAGCTTCACACTGATTTTCTGCTCCAGCAGCTGGGCTGTGAGTCACTCCATTGCCTGGCTGTACAAGGGAGCTCTGTGGTACAACCATTCCCGCAAGGAGAGCTGTAAGGAGCTCCTGAACCAGTGGCAGGTTGTGAATAGGAGCCCTGGGGGCTGGCTAGGGACGTTAAGGACATTAAGAAGATGTTCTGAGGCCTTGATGTGAGCCTGCCTTAATGGTCCTACTCTGGACAGCATATTGGCCCTCCTGGTGAGGGATGGGGAGGTTCAGCTCCCCAGGTCTTATTCCCAGTCTTCTTCAAAGCCTCCAACTTTGCACCTAGGGCAGCTCCCATGTACACATGAACTCACTCAAATATACCAGCTATGGTCTTTCTCCAGACCCTTTAAGTACCTGGTCAAAATGGGTTAGTGATTGCAAGAACCTCCAGCCTTCTTCCTCCCAGCCTCTCACTGAGTCACCCCACCACATACTTGGAAACAGCTGTTATCCAAGAGCTCCAGCAACATCCTGGAGCTGGGGAAGATGCTTCTTCAGCCAAGGGTCCCATGGAGAGAATGCACACAAAGCTGGAGGACAATTTGGGCTGGAAAGTGATTACCTCACCTAATCCCACTTCACCATAACAGGGCCAGCCCAGGTCCTGCTGCATCTTCCACAAGACTGCTCCTATCTGCTGCCATGAAATTTAGCCAAGACTAGTCATCTCATGAGGCAAAAAACTCTTTTTGTAGCTGTATAATTTACCTATTCATTTTGGCTTTCACACCTTCCTGCCTGCATTTGCTGTGAAGGCAGCAGAGCTGGTGCACAGCATTTTAGTGAATTGGTTGCCCAGATTTTATTTTAATCTGAAAGCAAAATGATGATATACACATATGTGTAATGTAGCACAAAGGCATGTTTACTGAAGCATGCCACCATGATGCTCCAGTTAAAAAAAAATAACAAGCAACAAATCTGTTTCATCCCCAGCCATACATTAGAAGCTGTATCTAGCTGCTGTTGAGATCATGACCAGCATAGCACTTTTGGGTAAATACAGCTTTGCATTACAGTCCTCTGATGTGTCTCCATAGCAGTGGATGGCTAGGGGTTAAAAACTGTGTGCCTGCCTGTGCGTTGTTTGTATGTGTTTGTGTGTCTGTGTGTGAGCATGCTTGCTACAGGCTTTAAATAATATTTTCTAACATTTCTTTGAAATTTCCTTAATTTACAGTCACTGAGAATGAGGTTTCAAAGCAAGCATTGAGAGCTAAGCTGTTCCTCAACAGACACTCATGTAAATATGTTACTTTAAAAAGAAAAAAAACCCCCAGCCCTTTCCATCTCTACCAGTGAAATGGCTACAAATGGGCTGCCATTAACTTTTGTTACTTGAGTAGGTGCCTGTAAAGGGCCAGGTGGTGTTTATGCAGATGAATGAGCATGTTACAATGTGTTCTTCCTTTTGGATAAAACATTAGCGTATCAGATGTGACAAATCAGATGTTCATCTTCCGCACTTCTGCATTATTTTACATTGAGAATTAGATAATGTGCTGGCTTAGCTTTTTACTTTGTGGGTTTTTTTCCCCCCGTCTTCTCCTCAAGAATAATTTTATACATAAAGTTCTTCCAACACTCTGCATAATCATAGTCTCACCGTATGTCTAACCAGCAAGGTATTATGGTAATTGTGTATTTCCAGGTAGCGGGCTTTGCATCAGATGGAAGTGAACATTGTTTAACACACTGCATAATTATTGTGAAATGGAAATAATGGACCTACATGTTCAGGGGGGTTTTAATTCTGTTTCCCTACCAGAGCAGCAGATAATTCTTGTGTCTCCAGCAGCAGCAGCAGCAGCAAGATAAATATTAGAATGTCTTACAACCAGGGTATGCAAATAATTGAATCCTCAGTTCAGTGGCTAAACTGAAAAAAAAAATAACCTTTCATTTTTAGCTGACAAGAAGAAAAGGTATTTGGGTTGCATAAGAAGAAGAAATAAATAGTATTTTATTCTTATGACTAGTTTAGTTGTATTTAGCAAATCTGGTGTCGAAACATGATCCTTAGATCTATAAAATCAGAACTTTTAACTTTTTTAAAAAAATCCCCAAGCTGTTTTATTATGTCATTTTGTCTATTTTTGTCTATCTGAAAACATTTGAAGATTTCAGTCTCAGCCATCAGGAAGCGGCATTTTTAATGAGCAGATTACGTGCCTGAGATATCTCACTTCACTCTGATTCAAATGTTCAAAATTAATTTCAAGTCTCTCTGACAACTGGACTACAACTGTCCTTCCATTTTTGTGTTATTTCTTTACTCTGTCAAATCAGGGAAGTTTTCCACTTTGAGGAAGTTGAATATATTCAGCAAATGACATAGTCACAGTCCATATGCCCTGTGTATTTTGCTATTAATTTTCCTCAAAGAATTGATATCTGCATAGTTACTCCGCCCTGGTCTTAAGCTCTGCATAGACCTAATTCCTTTCTTTACCAGAAGCCTAAGCCAGTCTAAGAAGAAAACTAAGGATTCACAAACCCTTGTGCTGGACAAGTCTTATAACAGTGCCCAGCGTAGCTAAATCCAGGTACATTCCAGGTGTAGGGTGAAATCCATACCATGGAAATTCAGCTGGTGGGAATAATAAATTGTCTAATTGCACTGAAAGCAAAATTGTGAGTGCAAGGCTGTTTGTACTTGTCTACCTGTGTAAGGGCTCAGCAGGCCCCATGTTTGCAGAAAGTCTTGGGTTTCCCAAGCAGTGCCTGTGGGAGATGAGCACCAATGGGATGCTGCAGGGAGGGCTGCACAGCAGAGCCAGCCGTGCAGGATTTGTAAGGGAAAGAAGGACCAGGCTGTCCTTGCACCACAGAAACCTTTTCTTGGCAGAAAGGTGAGTCCCTCCAGAGGCTAAGAATGCCTGTTTGCCCAGGGTCTGGCTTAACCTTGCTGCAAACAAATCATGGGACTAGAAAAATTCTACCTATAAAGGGTGAGGTACTTGTTTTTTAGTATTAAATAGATGCATTTATAGTTTGCCAAGCTTCACTTTATTTGAGTGACACCAACAGAATACACAACTGCTCCAGTTAAATGCACAGCTCATTTCTGTCTACATCTTGTAGGCAACATGTTCAAATGTATTCAAAATCAAGGCTGCAAAAGAATTTCTCATCATCAAAGACAGCAGCTTTAGTTCCCATAATTGTGTTGTTTTGTCCAAGGCTGAGAGGATAAAACAATGCTGCTGGGGACAGCAGTCACAGTACCTGTGTGGTCTCACTTCATGTGTCACACAGCCAATCCCAGTGCACCTGCTGCACATGGCCCCATAAGGAGAACCTAAATTTAACTTCTTGTTGCAGGGTTGCATCTTGAAAGCCACAAGCTATTAGCTGGTCCTTGGTTTGGCCACCCCAGTCTCAGGAGCTGGTATTAGGCAGCCTGTGGCTCTTAGTAGCTCCAGATTGATTTACAAAGGGTTGACTTGATCTCCCTGGTGAAATTACAGGAAAAAAACTCTAGCCATTGCTAATATGACAGCCAGTTTGGGGGGACTTTTCACTAGGAGCTACACATTTTCAATCAAGTGAGGATGTTCCTCTAAACCTCCAGGTCTCTCTGATATGTCAGGTGCAGGAGGTGCACACTGAGCACCAGGATGGGGGCAAGCACAGAGGTGTCTGTGCAGTTGCAGGCTGGGGGACGTGCCAAAAGTGCCTCTCATATTGCTGGGACCCTGTACAGGCCAGCACCTGGAAAGATGGCCAGCACAGACATCTCTCTTCTCTCCAAAAGGGTCCTTCACATCCTAAGGATTCTGAGGAGTCATTTCTCCTTTACTTCCAAGTGCTTTGATGGGGCAAGGCAAGTAGCCTCACCACTGAACATTTCTTCTTCAGTCTCATTCTGTCTGGGCTGCACATTTGCTTGCTCCCTACCTTCTTCTGGGATTAGTAAGAGAAGGCTTTGCACGTATGCTGCTTTCTGATTAGCCCTGTCCCCAGCACCCAGCTCAAATAAACACAAGAGGAAAAGGTCATCCCGTGTGTCTTACCTGGAAAAGACCCTCCCTCCGAGTATCTCAGTACTCCATGGCTAAGGTTCTTCTTGGGGAAGGAAGTGACCATATTCTGCAAGTTTCATCAGAAAAGACAATGACTTCCTCATCTCTATGAACATGTCCAGAAAGTATGGGCAAGGGCAAGCATGTCCTCATCTCACACCCAAAACCAAAAGTTTACATTAAAACACAGCCTCACCAACACAGATGTTATTTGCAGTTTAGGGAATCTTACTGCAAAAGACTAAGTTATTTTACTCTACAAAGAGCATTACCACAATGTGGGCCAGGATCTTTTTTTCCTATTCCATGTGACTCTGGCAGCAGCACTCTGTTTTCAATGTACTTCAAGGAAATGCTGCTGGAGAAAATACAACTAATGAAAAACAGCCATCATTTTATCTTCCTGTACATCATTGTGTTGGTTTTATTTTAAAAAATAAAAGAAAAAGAAAAAGAAAAAGAGAAAGAAAAATAAATAGAAGAAATCAAACAATAAGAGTTATCAATTCCCATCCATGACTTACTCAGATTTGATTTAACACTGCAGGTCTCAGCATGTATAACTCTGATTTCTGCTAACTGGTCTCAGTCTAGTATTTTCACACCTTTTTTGTACTAAATGCTTACAACTGGTCACTCTACTAGAAACTGTCACCATGACACCTTTATTTAGAATTTTAACAACACAAAAAGCACAAGAAATGAATCTCAAAATAATAATCTTTTATTGTTTGCATTGCAATAAGTTCCTGCAAATGCATCCTATTATCTTTTTATACAATTAAACACATAATGTCTAACTGTTAAGGTATCAGCCCAGCTGGGTACAGATGCTGTCTGCTGCCAGTCTGAACAGACCTCGGCTGCCTTTTAATAATTACCCGAATAAAAGAAAAATGATGAAGTGCTGTAGTTTGTTCATCCAAACTGGTAAAAAGCTGTTTGCAAAGAATAACTACAAGGGGAGTGAGACACTGAGCTTTGCTAATAAATAATTCTCAGAAATATCAGTTCTCAATTTACTACTTGTACACCATGGGCCAGTCAAAACTTGCCGCATGAGCCAATTTGCCACAGCTCTTGTTTTGAGTCTTTGTGAAGCTGCTGCATGAGCACAGTGGGGGCTGCTTGCATCTATCCCTTGAGTCAATCAGTGGGCCTTTGTTTCCTGCTGGTCAAAAATATCAGGTGGCTCTGAGAGTCTAATTATCAATGAAAAATTAAATTCAGTACAGGAACATAGCCAGGAGTTGCCCCCTGTGCTCTGCCCTCATTCATGGGGTGTGAGTATCAAGATATTTGTTATAATTCAAAATGCATTCAGGCCAAATTGGGAACTTCAGGGGTGGGAAAGACAGAAACCTAAACGTGAAAACAAGAGTTGAGAACCTCGCAGGCAAATCAGCAAATTTCTCCTTCTACTCCCTTAGCAAATGGGGTGTGCAGCTCTAATTATGCAAAGCTTTCTCCAAGGCACCGCCCATCAGGGATTTCTCATTGGGAATAGATTAAGCCAAGTGTATACCTATGTGATTCCATGACTTTCTGGCCTTGGGGAATTTTGTAAGTTGAATACACTACCAAATCAAGGTCTAGCTCTCTCAGAACTGGAATAGGCAGAAGCAGAGACACCAGTCAGGGCACAGAGATGAAACCCCTCAGAGGAGGAGCTTTTTGCTCAGGGACACCTGTTCAGCATTGCAAATGACAGAAACCAGAAGAAGCCAATGTAAACAATCTCTGTATGAGACACTATGAGTAGAAGACAAGACAAAGCCACTAGAAATCTTGGCAGACTGTGTTTCTTTACCTGTTGATTGTTTTCTAGCAGTCAACACTCATGATTTTTCACAAGGGGTGAATCCACTTCCCAAAAGGACAATAACCAGAAGCAGAAAGGGAGGCATAACACAGATTTGTGGGAGCTAATAGAAGGCATTGTCTCTGCTCCTTGCCCGGCCCATCGTTGTCCTTGCTTTTGAACACATATATGAGCTGCTCCCACCTCTCCCGGTCGTGGGTGATGTATCATTTGGAAGGCTGTCCTCACCCACACATGGGAGAGGCTGCACACAGCCCCAGGAAGGACCCCTCCCCAGGCACTCCCACCTACACCATCACACTGAACTTGACCTTTCTCTTCACAGATATTCTTGGTAAATGTACCCAAAGAAGAAAGCACACACGATTCATGGGGGAGTAGTGCCTCTCTCTATGTACCTATGTACCCTATGTCACACATCTATTGATTCTAAGATATTTGGTTTTGCTTAGGGAAACTGATGTATCAGGAGTATAGGATCCTGGGACAGAAAGGCTTACAAGAGCAAACAGCAGAAGAAACAGACATGGTGCTAACGAGCAGCAGTACAAACATGGCTGTATCAAAGTACTGCAACTCTTGAGGCTCTAAAACCATATTTACAGCAGCACAAGGAACTGTGCCAGAAAATTTCAGGTAGCTAAAAACCTTTTCTGTCAGAATGACTTCTCCTCACAAAATGCATGGTAAAAAGACCATATGTGTTTCACATCTCAAGGAAAGAATACAGATCTGTATCACTCACTTCATCCGCAAATATGTTAAACTAGCTTAGCTTTCCTCTGTGCCTGGGCACAGATGTCCTTGTCACCTCTGTGCCTTTCTTTTTCTGCAAGAAATTTTTTAAGTGCTTAGTTAAAAAACACCTTCAATCTTCAAGCCTTCCTAGTTATGCACCTAGAAATCACTTCCAGTTCCTCCATCCCTGATGTACAAGATGAAGTATGGCAACTGCTCAGAACTCTCTGTCCTGAGAGCTTTTCTAGAAGCAACTTACCCAAAGGAGAAAGTTGGCCACGTAGACACCAAGCAGAGCAACCACCTTCACAGCAGATTTTGACTAGCAGAATACTATGCAATCATATTAATTTTGGTTAGCCATGTAGGTTGGATACTAATTTTTTGTTATAAAGCCCTTGGAGACTGCATTATAAATACACAGCAGATTGGCGTGGTGGAAGGGTGAATAGAAGTGGCTGAATAGAAGTTCTTTTTCATTCACAGTTTAATTAAAATTCTTGGTTGCCTCTTCTCTCACTGGGAGCTCAGTGGCAAACACTAAAGGCCTTCTGCAGCACATGAAAACCCAACCCTCAAGACTTTACTTGCACACTGCTGTCACAAGGCTGTTCCACAATTAAAGGGTATTCACACAAGTAAGGGATGATGATTGTACATCAGAGGAATTGCAGCATCAGCTCCAAAGCTGGCACCTGCCCCAGCAGGATCTTCTGACAGTTCATCCCCCTGCGCCTCCTCTCTGCACTGGCTGCTCTTCTCAGGAATTGCAGCCTTGGGCTTCACCAGCCAAACTTGGCCAGATAAATATGGATAAAGTCATTCTTACAGCAGGCAAAACCTATCAGAAAAATGTTTTGAACAAATGCATTTTAAGATTTTCAGCCTTTCTGCCATAAAACCTGAAACACCTCAAGACAGTCTTAAATGCTGTTTAAGGTTGCATCATACATTTTTACATCATAAATTATTGAGTGACTTAATGGACAATGCATTAGAAGGAAAACAGGCAAATTACAGAATAATTTAACTGTTGCAAAGAAACAGAGCAACTTGCAGGACGTAAAACACTCTATTTCGACACAGAATGCCTGAAGCTAAAGCAATTAAGGCTGCAAAATATTGCCGGCTGACATGATGTGTATGTAAATTTGTCATTCATTGGCAAGGGTTTGTAACAATCAGAGTAATGTGCACAATAAAACAACCATGTGGTATAAAATGCTTTCTGCTAAGAGTACTTGGAAAATTGTGCTTATGTATCATTTAAGCATATCACTATTATACATACAATAGTAGTTTATTGCAAAAGATTCCACTTCAGTACTGGTAGCTCAAACAAAGACAGCCCTTTGAAATATTATTTACCATTGTTTGTGTGAAGGATCATGAAGGAAATATTTTTTAAGTTCCTTATAAGACCTACTACTTCTGCTGTAGGATTTTCACCAGAGATTCAAATTCTAGTGAATCGGTCCCTCCATGCCAGTTTTAAAAAGCTCACAAACACCTTGTACCTTACCAGGAGAGCTAGCAAAGAAAGAGATGCCTCAATAATACCAATACTTACATGGCTGAGTCCATTATTTTATGTAAAAGTGAGAGCAGTAAAAGAGGCAATGAGATCTTTTGGTGCTCCGTGAAAAGCAGTAGATTTAACTATCAGTCTTTCTGATCTGTACATCTGTACAAGCTGCCAGCTCAAGGGCAAGAGAGGGCCCACAGTGCTGAGGGCAAACCCAACTCTTCAGGTGCCTGTGCTCCTCCCCAGAGATGGTGGAAGGCAGGAGAAATTTTTTCACTGAGATCTTTGTAACAAGGCAGGTAACACCTTACAGCTTCTGCTATGACCTCATAAAGAAAATAAAAATGCAGTCCTGGGGGACCTGGGGAAAATCCCAAGCCCTTTATTACATAAAAAAGGGGGAAGAACACGAAGAGAGGGTGTTGGATGAGACTCAGATCCCCTCAATCTGTTTTCCCATGCAGCAAAAGTGCTGCCGCTGCTTTCCAGCTCTCCCCACCACTGGCGCCAGGAGGGCACCTTGGGCTGCCTCAGATATGCTTGCACACTCCATCCCTCTTTACAGGCAGACAGGCAGTATGATTAAAAATACAGGAGACAGACCCAAACGTGAACAACATGACACCCCCAGTAAGGAGCCCTGAATTTCTCTACGGGCCTGATGGGTCCATGGAGGTGGCAGGCTTCCCCATTTCCCATCTCATTTTGCCCTGATGCACATTTCTGCCAGTGCAGCCCCACATTCCAACCCTGGCTTGATCCTCCCAGCTAGACCAGGGCTCCTCAGCAACAAGAGACTGCTGAGAGCAAACCCTTCTCCAGCAAACCTCCTCATGCATCTCTGCAATGTTTTCCCAAATTACATCCTTCTTTTCAGTACTTACATACCTTCATCCTGTTATATATCGCTCTGCCTGGAAAAATCTCTTCACAAACAGGGAGGACAAGAATGGTTTTCCAGTCTTGGTTAAATCTCTTGTTCTCAGCTGGCTTATCTTAATATCTTATAGGTGAGATCACTGACAAGAAGTGGACCTTGGCATGGAAGGAGCATAAGTGAGGTCTTCCAGAAGCACTGAGTTCTCTGGGGCACAGGCAGCTTGGCTCCCAGTGCCACCTTGACCTCCACTATCATCACCCAGCCCAGGTAAAGGAATTCTTCCAAATTGCCACATGCTGCCTCCAGAACTTCAGCAACTTTTGTTTTTCCCAGCAATTTTGCTGGTGAGGAGAGTTATGCCCCTCCACTCTTTAGATACAATTTAAGAGACATTTTTTCTTTGGAATGCAACAAATTTGTGCTTTAAATTTCTGCTCTAGGCTACATTTCAGGAAACCATCCAAAAGACTCCAGTAGGCTTTCAATGGAGTGAAACATGGAATTTTCCCAAGACAAAATTTTAACACCACATCTATTGTCTTTGAACATCCCATTCGTGACATATAGAAAAGGAGCAGGCTTTTTGACAGGCAAGAGTGAGGTGAGCATCCCCCTGGGATGCCCCTTTCCCTGTACTGCATCCTGGCAAATACACCCTGATGATGACAGTGACAAGACAGTGACATTGCAGAAAGAATTTGGGGCAACTGAGTTCTACCATGGAGGCTGCAAGCAGGGAATGAAGCCAGCATCTCCTGCCTTCCCACCAACACACCACGTTCAACCAATAAAAAACCCTCCAGTGCAGCTGCTCAGGACTAGCCTCTTCCTCTGGGCCTCTGAGCACCTGTCACTAGAAAATCAGCATTTTCAAATGCCACGCCAGGGCAACTCCTGGCAAATGACAATGCTGCAGCAGATCCTTGATACATTATCTGTTTCTCATCCAGCATCCTCACCCACTCTTCTCAAGTCCCTGTCTTGTACTTTGATCCCAAAGGGTAGGAGAAAGGCTGAGGGAAGAGGGTGAATTTTAAACCACCTCTCCATATAAATAGAATAGCTTATGCATTCCTTTCTGAAGTACGGTATTAATCCCAATTGTGCCATAAAATATATATGACTCACTTGAGCCTTGTTCTCTGGTGAGTTATGAACTATTATGTCACTCGTGGGATAAGTATTATGTCTCTTAAGAGACTATCACCTTTTCTTTACTTCATAATATAAAACTTCATTGAAACCTGCCGTGCCTGATATAAGCAACTTCTCGTCACGCACATTAAACCTTTTTTCTTTTACAGCTTCATTCATTTAGCTGATATTCACATCAGGATGAGTTCTTTCAGATGCAGCATAAGCATAAATTAGTATGTAAGAGAAGTAGTCATTTAGCAGAATTTTTTCTTTAATAAATCTGGTGAAATTTATATTTCATCACAGAGCAGAAAGATTTTTTTTTTTATACATTTAAAGATTTATTCCTGTAGTAAGTATCCAATTAATAGGGCTTTAGCATGCAGACAGGATATGTATTTATGCTGAAGAAAATATGTTCTCATTATACTTTTATTCTCATGTTAGATTTATTGTGGGTTCCACTATAATTTATTTTAGTAGCTCTGTTTTCTAATTCTTTATATTTACATGTCTTTTCCAACAAAAATAATAATACATAAATAATACCTGACAACACTTTGCAGATTTTCTCTATTTGTATGCTTCAATTTTCCAAGCATCTTGGAGTGGAAATGCTGTGAACTACAAAGGAAATCTCTATGTGATCTCTATTACATGAAAAATTATCATTTTTATATCTTCCTCACTCTGCCAAATTCTTTCCAAGTTTCTGTTTGGAATGCATGAAAGTAGGCAAGCAATGGTAGTAAACCAAGTAGGAATACTTACTACATACACTTATATTTTCAGTGTGCTGCTGCAATTAGCAGTGTCAGAGGACAGCCTACTGCATTGCAGCAGAGAGCTCCTTCCTATTTACTGTCACATACATTTTTCCATAGGCTTGCTGCTATGGGATTTATGATTACACAGTCCTACCACTGCTATCCTGTAAACCACTGCCAAGAACAATGTTCAGTCAGTAACACTTGGCCTAGTTCCCAACCCAGCCCTTCTGCTGGTGTGCAGCGGGATGGGAGCTTGAAACGAAAGTGGGACCAGCCTCACAGTCACCTGCCAACATTTCCAGCATGAGAGGATCTTATGTTGAGCAAGTTTCCACACATGCTGCATCTCCTAACAGAAAGATTCCTACAGGCTGCTGTACAGTGGCTTTCCTGAGCCTGTGCTGTGTAAGACTGCCTTCTTGTGCAGCCCATGCAGAGCTTTAGGCCCAGCACTAATCCCAGCAGGTCAGACTGACAGCAGAGCAGAGGCAGTGTATGGCTGGAGAAGCCAGCTGAGTTACACTGCAAACATTACACTGCATGTAAGAGCCAAATCTGGCCAAGTGCTCTTGCAGTAGATGTTGCTTTCATTTTGCAGTGTACCCTCTGCTGGGGAAAAAAAAATGACTTTGTGTTAGATATCACATCTAATTATTCCTGTTGGGCTGGCCCAGAGAAATGTCAACAGTGCATTGTAAGTGCTAATTGGGGTGTCCATGCTCTGCAGTAGATTTGGGATACAACACCCAAGACTGGGGAGGTTAAACATGCTTTAGACTACTGTACTGTAATGAGCTTAGTCTCCATGGAAGAGGCACAGCTTTGCTACACACACTTTGTGCTGCATTGCCTGAGCCATGCACCAATGTGCTGGTTAAGACAGGCTGCCCGTGGCCACCACCAGTGGCCAGGAAAGGTGAGCAGGATTCCCAAGGCATGCTGCCGAATGCTTAGCAAAACAGACTGAGGTGAAGAGAGAGGGAAAGAGAAAGAGGGAAAGGAGTAAAGGGAGGAAAAAATAAAGGGGGAAAAAATACAGCTAAAGAGTGAAATAAATAAAAGCTTGTCAGTGTGCTTACCTTCCTCCCACTGTTTAGGCAGAAAAGCTCACTAGTTCTTACACTCACGTGATATAACATGGATTGAACTGTCACTGCCTATACTGGGGCTCCATTGGAGACACACACTTTGCTGCTTTTTCCACAGACCCCATCATGCTTCTAAATAAATATTAATCCTACTTTATTTCTGAATTTCTAGTCCAGAAAAAGTACACTGTTTTGGTATAGGGATAGTGCTAGTACTTGAACCCACAGGATCCAGGCAAATTACCTGTGGGTTTTTTTGACAGCCTTCGTTTTCCATATTGCTCTTTCCTGCTTTAGAGCACCAGTTGGAGGGAATACTGTTCCTGCTACAGTGCTGGGGTAGCAGTGTCTGCTGTGACATCCCACCCTTCCATGTTCTCAGGCACTGTTTCATTATTTTTACCAGGCAGTCTTAAAACTTTCAGGAATTCTTCTTGTTGGATCTTCACACAATGAAACAAGTATTTAAAGCTACAGCGTTGCTGCTAGTCTATTGAGCTATAAAAACCTGACAGGTATTAGTCCAAGCCCTTTTGTGTCATGAGCAGATCGTTTGTGCCCCTCAGTGAGTTTTTGCCACTTCCATGGACAGTGTTGCATCAAGTCCTGCTTTAAACAAGCCCTACAACAGAGTGTAACTTAACAGAAACAAGCCTGAAACACTGTACCTGTTCAGATGTTGAGGCAAGAATCTGAAAGGGAAATCTGAAAGACTATTGTAAGGACAAAGATGAGGCCTCAGATGTATTTTGCATTTCACACAATTCTGCCAGCATTATTACCCCGTATGCTAATATAGGAGAGGTAGGCAATTATTCCCAAACTTGTTTCATTTTATTTGTTCTTCCCGACCTCAGATTAAAATGTAACAGTGCCAGACTCCATAGAAAATATAGGGCAAAATCTCACAGACAGACTGTCAGCAAAGGGCTGTGCTGAATCTGGGGACAAGGTCTGGGGAGGGAATTGCAGGAGAGGCGACAGCTTAGAAATTCTTTGAGCCATGGGCTGCATCCTTCCAGAGGGGAAGGCATGGAAGAAGCTGCACCTCTACCATGTATATTCAAACAGTGAGATGAAGCTGCTCTCTGAGACAACCCACTATGCGCAGGATTTGCCAAACTCTTCTCAGTGGTGGCATCCTGAGGCTGGTCACCTGGGAAATTCTCTTTTTAAGGACATTATCCTGAGGGAGCAGCTCCAGTTCCTTTTGCTCGCTCCATATTCATCAAGACCAAAGCAGCTGAACAACTGAACCAAATTTTGAAAATAGGTGTTTTATCTTAATCACATATGAAACAAGCCATTAGATGTTGGCTAAGCCACCCACCCACCCCAGATGCCCAGATGTACCCACACACTGTTGTGCAAATCAGAGGCAGATGTTGTCCTGCATGTTTTAGAATGATCCCACCCGCGAGGACACCTGTGCTTGGTATGGAAAAAAGTCAGAGATATTTGCACATGCATGTCAAGCTGGAGAAAAGGCCACTTGAATTCACATGGAAGTGTAACAGTGCACAAATCTCTGCATACTTGCTGCAAGGTTTAGGAGAGAGACACATGTCAAACAGCTAGGAAACCTACCTAGAAACCATGTGTGCACAGCCTTATTCTAGTCATCTGTGTCTCAGATTTTACACAGATTTTACACTGCACTGCCACAGAGAAACACTTACTTCATGTATACTGCAGAAAAGGAGGATGAAAAAGAAAATATTACTCTCATTGTACACATCTTCTTTACTGTCTAGATCCACTAGCTGTATTTTTGTTTGCTTTCTGAAATAGCAGAAAATTGGGAGGGAGTTTGTGACAAAAAGCTAAATAAATATTTAATGTATCAGCACCTGTCTTATAGTTTTTGTGCACCACCACTATCGATTTCCTGGTAGTTCTCCTTCCCTACCCAACTTCATTAAAGAATAAAAGTAAAGTAATAAGTCATTTCACACTCTGTCTGACCATTCTACAATAATAGCAAGATTTCATGCAAGGGTACAACATTATGCCCATCTGCAATCACAGTCTCTTTGCAAAAATCTCAATTCACACTTCACATGCAGCTAACCTTGTTACCATTCCCTTCCTAAACCCATCAGTCTTGCAGCTGCACGTCTTCACAGCCCAACATCTTAAAATTCATCACTTTGACACCCTTGCATCCCTACAGGTCAAACTAAAGACACCAACCAAGAATAATTAAGGGGTACCCCAGATGTTTAGTTTACTTCTAGCCAACCTCTCCCAGAACTAGGTACAGTTCCCTGTTCATATACTAAAGATCCATGGAAGGTGCTTGTTTTAAGGGAACGAGACCTCCAACAAATCTCAGAGGTCTTTCCCCCTCTTTCCTATTTTTTTTTTTTTTATTTTTTTTTTTACAAGTATAGCTCTTTGTAGTTGGAATTTGAACAAGAAGTGTGATAATGAGTAGGTTCAGGGAAGGAAAGGTGTTATCTCATTAAGGTAATTACTAAGACATCCCCACCATTACCTCGGTTTGAAAATGTGGCAATTAAAGCGCCCTACATGGGCTCTCAGAGATGAGGGAACAAGACAGTCGTGGACAAGTTTGGTGTGCCTGTGCCGGCAGGGAGGGGAGNCCGCTCCTTGCGGGCCGCTGAGCGGCACGGGGAGAGCACCCACTCCCGGCCACTCCCGCCGTCCCTGGCGTACAGACAGCCCTGCTCACAGCCTCACGGACTGTTCCCATGCTCAGCGCACCAACAGCCAGGTCTTTTCCAGCGGCTGCCGGTATTTCCCGCTGTGTAAGGCTGAGAGAGCACGTTCCGATCGTCTGGCAACAGATGACTTTGGCTGGTTGTTCACTGCCATTTCCAGGGCCGAGAGCAGGTCCTGGCCCAGGCAAAGGCAAAGGCTGGAGAGGGACCGAGACTGCGGCAATTCAGCAGCTCCGCAACAAGTATGGGGCTGTCACGGCGAAAGCAGCTGTCCGGGAACGGAAAGGGGAGAAACCCGGGCAGCGCGGCCGGGAAGGCAGCACAGCCAGCGGTGCCTGGCCCCGAGCAGTGCCGGACACCGCGCCGGACCGGCGGCTGGAGGTAGCCTCACGCATCCCGGCTCTTTGTCCTGCCGCAGCGCACTAATGCCTGTCCGCTTGCCGGGACTTTTGAAGAAAAAACGAAGCCTGTTCCTACAAGGTTGCAGCCCGGCCGAGCAATTTCGGGGCAGCCTGACCTTGGGTCGGCTCTATCCCAGTGCTAAGGAGGAGCGGGACAAACGAAGAACTTGGGTTTGCAGCCCTGCTTCCCACACTGGGAAAGAAGAGTGAAAGAGCAATTCTTGCCCCAAACCTCCTCCCGTTTACAAGCACTTTTCAGTTGAGTCTGGAAATACATTTCAGGGGAGGTGGCGGTTCCTCGCCCCCCTCCTCCGGCACTCCAGGTTTAGACACCGTCCTGCACGGCCCCGGCAGCCCCCCAGCCCCGCCTCAGTCCTCTCCTTCCTGTCCACTGCCGTTCCCAAAGCACCGCGAGCTCCCTGTGCCGCTGGGCACCCCTCGGCAGGCCCTACTCGTGAGGGGGGCACTTATCTATTCTGCATGAACTTTCCTTCCTTGTTCTCGTTACTTTTCAGCGAGTTTACG